ATGAAAGAATAATTGTGTAAAAAAAAAACTTAATTTTCAATTCTTAAATCTGATTGGCCGGACTTTTTAGGACCTGGACCTGGGCTGGTCCAGACCAGACCTGCGGACTTTTCCATCCCTAGTTGCAATAAATATAGAAAGATGATTGTTAATCGTGATGGAATATTCAGCATATCACATGACTTCCGTAGTAAATTCGTTCTAATTGGTCGATATTAACGGTCAATTGGCTTACAATCTCACAGTAGTTAACTTTGTTCTAGGGCCTAAAATGGCACTTAATGATGGTGATTGATCTAAAAATAATCTCTAATATTCATCAAGTTTTACTGAAATTGAGGATGCAATCATTGATTGTTGTAATTGTGCATCAAGATAATGGTCTAGTGTGGTGAACATACCAATAAAAGCTAATCTTACATCACCCATTGTTGGGTATGAAGATGATGATAATAATTTGGTTGCTTCATACATTGGTTCTAAGATATGGTATAATTCCTGAATCAAAATAAAAATGCATCTTTATAAATAAAAAAACTTGTGAAATACAAATAATGGAGAATAAAACTTACTCCAATATGCTTCCAATCTGATGTGGTTAAACATAAATCCTGCAATTCTCCATAATTATTATTAACTAAACACTCAATAATAGATCTTATTTCAATGAATCTTTCAATCATTAATTAAATGAGTGGAGTTCCACCTTGTATCAACATCTAAAATTGGCATCAAAAAAGATTTGTTTTTTATTTGAAAAGTTGTATGCATTTCATCAATTAATCCAGGAGAATTTTTAATTTTTATGACAATTTTTCTTAATTTTTTTAATGGATCATTGGCAAGTTCTAAACCATGTCTTACTGCTAGATTTATGATATGTGCCACACATCTATAATGTTTGAAAAACGAGTTTCCAAATCTTAATTCCAATTCATTTGATAGCTTTTCTCCAGCAGACACCATGTTGGCTGCACTATCTCCCATGTTAAAATCTTCAAGAATCTTGTTTAATTCTGATATAATCAAATCAGATGTATGTCTTTCTGTTAGTGGTATAATATCAAGTAAAAACCTTTTCATTTCCCAATGTGAATTAATGTAATGGGCAGTGATGCCTAAATATGATTCTTTTGTGATGGATGTCCATATGTCCATTGTTAAAGCAAATTTACTTTTAATATTATCAATATCATGCTTAATATTATTACGTCTAATTTAAGGTTTCTGGTCGAAACTGCTTCTATTAGTAGCCGAAATTGCCCAAATACTTTGGGCAAAAATTATTTTTT